GGGGGGCGCTGGGAAATGTAGTCCCTGGGCCCCGCCCCGTGGGCCCCGCCCGGGTGAGCGCGATTTCCGAAATGGCGAGGGCTCAGCCCCGAGCTTTTGTGCTTCTAAAAGCAACGCCTGCACAGAGGACCCTGCACCCCAGCAGCTCCCCTGCTGCTGCTTGGCCGGATCAGGTGGCCGACAGTAAAATAAGCTGGGATTTGGGCTTTTTTTTGCAGTCCCCCACCAGCTTCGCTGACCCACAGGCCAAAGCTGGTCAGCGGGAGAGGAGAACGCCCACAAAGAAATGACTTGCTCTTCTGCCAGGGCCTTAGCCTTGACATTATACAATCACAGTAGCAACAAATATTCTTCTTCCCTCTATAAAGCACAGGGAAAGGAAGATTTTCGATGAACAGCACACGGTTTTAGCAACGTGTTCCAAAACATTAAAATGTACAACAAAAAACCCAAGAGCTCTGACCCTCACTGCAGATCATTTCTATTGACCCCACTGGCACAAATGAAAAATAAAGAACTAATCATGGGAATACCCAGGCATTTCTGAGCAACCACAAACTCCCTGACTACATCTGTACCTGAGCCCACAAACTAGAAGAGCAACTCTTAAAAAGCAACCCAAACCCTCATGTCAGAGGGCCTTTTCCTGCCATATATATTAAAATCTACTAGAAAATTCACAGGCACTTTCTGAAGATAAGCGAAGGCCGGGGAGAAGCCACAGAGCCGAGACCGGCAGCTCCTGACAGGAAACCTGCAGAGCTGCCCGCACACCTTAGCGCAACAGGGCAGCTCGCTTTCTCCGGGTGACAGAAGCGGTAACGACCTGCAAGGCACTGACCGAGCAGAGCAGAGCCAAGCTTACGCCAGCCACGCGCCCACCCTCCCCGCTGTCCTTCAGCGAGACGCTCCAGAAATAACCGGTGTATCGCTCTCTGTTACTGGCTCCTTATGCCATTACAGTCCGTACCACCGGGCACTTGAGCAGTTTGGTAAAAAGCTTAGAAAAAAAGCAAGGGAAGAGATATTGAAGTGCCACCTTCCCATCCTGCTGATACAGAGTCTTCAATCTGGGAAGTGACGTGATCATTCCTTTCCCCCTCCTCACTGTCCATAACGCTGCATGTGCCAAGCGAGAAGGCTCTCTGCTGACTTAGCTTGAAAGAGTAATGAATTCAGCCAGGCGTGCCGAGCTTGAGCTACGATGCTGAAGAGTCTGAGCGCTTCAGGCCAGAGCACACCTTACAGCTTTTCCCTCCCATAGCAATTTAATATCCTATAAATTAGGTAAATCAGTTATATTTTGGTCAGTTAACTGAAATAACAGACATGCTCAAGTGAAGAATTCAATGTATATTTATTATTCACAGTTAATTACTATCTACCAAATGCTGCTGCAGAGTTAAAGGATTAAGTACATAGGCCTTTTTTATTTAAACACTGATTTTTTTTTTTTTAATATATATACACACACAAGACATATGTCTGCAAGGCTGCATGATATACACCAATTCCAAAATAAGGAAACAATCAAATGGTCCAGGTGTAGAATGCCATAGATTCCTTTTCCAATCACTTCACAAAGAAGGAAGAAAGTGAGTGACAGCTAGCAAGGAGAGGGGGAGAAAGTAATACTCTACAGGATAGCTCTCTCTTTCATCTGCTGGAAAATTAAAGTGTAAGGCAGAGTCCATTCTCAGGAATAAAACATTTGTAACACTTAGTACAAAAAAAGGCACCCTCCAACAAAAGATTGCCCGTGCTCAGGCAGGGCAGGAGGAGATCTCCACTGCAGTTTTTGGATTCGTTGGTGGGGTGAAGGGATCCAGCCAAATGGCCATCAAAAGGAAAAATAACACAACTGAAGATTGGCACAGAGAGCGGTGCGGCTTGATTGCTTTCCTTTCCGTCCATTTTAATGTCACACTGCTCTGGTGGAGGAGCACATGGCCACAATAAATGCCATCGTGGTGCGGGGTGGGGATTACAGTCATCACACAGCCTGCTGTGAAATGGGGAGCGGGTTGGGGGGAATTTACTTCAACAGTAACACTGACCTGAGGAGGGCGGAGAAACTGGAGAACAGTGATGCCAACCCCACTTTTCGACAGCAACACGACTGCAAATATTCCCTATCCAGGCCAAAGAGACAGGCTGATTACATGCATCACGTAGAAACATTCACTAATAGCATAAAGTCTTTTCAAGCACTATTTCTTGAGGTTTCTCTGCATTATAAGGTTTTCCATCACAGGAATGTACATTTTATAGGACGTCTCAGGGCTATTATTTCTCAAATTCCCCCCTAACCCTCCCTCCCCAAAATACTCTTCCTCATTTTCCCTGGTCATAACTTCCCCCCTTTCTCTTACTTCTTTTGAGGCTCCTGGTTGCAGCTCCCCACCTCTGAGCAGCCTAAGCTGCCACTTGAATGCCTTGATTTTATTTTCCTTGGAATAAGGAAAGTTGAACAGTAAGACAAATCTTAAGATTAAAGCTCCATCTCTGTTTGTAGATTTTTCTCAAATGTCCATCGATAAAACCACCCACCTTTACACCCTTCCCCCAAAAGTATTTATTTACACATAGGCAGAAAAAAAACCTATGAAAAGCTGTGGACTGTCCTTTTAACTTAAAAAATAATAAAAAAGAAAATAAGGGAAAGGCACTATGGAAAAAATTACAGAATCTGCTCAACCGTACACCTTTAAGAAAAAACAAAAGAGCTGTCAGCACAGCATTAACAGACTTCAGTTGAACATTGGAGTTTCTCAAAGCAGCTCTGTGACTCAAAAGAAAAAAAAAAAACAACACAAAACAAATAGCCACATAACTCTTCTCCCTTCCCCTGCTTGGAAGCTGCTGAGCTTCAGAAGAAAGTGCCAAAGGAGAAGAGACAATAAAAATTAGATTAACACCTCATCTTTCCCAGGCAAGAAGAGCTGAATGTTGAAGGCAAAAGCAGAGACTGATGATTTTTGTCGGGGTTTTTTTGTTGGTTTTTTTTTTTGTTTGTTTGTTTTTTTAAAGGCAGGACTGGTTCTTCTCTCATGTCCCTTCATGTCAAATGAAGACCGTTTGCAGAGAGAGAAAATACCAGCAGAGTTTCTCCCTTTTCCTTTAACTGCATGGCTAGGACTTTATATGGCATTAAAACTTCATGCATTGATGGACAGAGGAGGAGGGGGAAACAAGAAGAGTGAATGAAAGGGGGTAACCCAGGAGCAGCTGAGGAAATTCGTTATTTTCGGTTTTTTCGCGCTCTCTCTTTTTTTTTTTTTTTTTTTTTTTTAATTTTTAG